TTCACCCAGAGCGCGGCTCAGGAGCGCACACACTCCACGGAGCATGTGCGACAACCCAAATCGCGACTTTAACCAAGCCTTAAGCTGTGACAGCGGTTGCAACAAGATCGTGGAAACAATTGAGTGCAGTTGTGATACCCATGGCAGAAGCATTGTGTTAGCTTGTCCCATCAGGATGCACTCAGAGAGTTCTGCTATAGGGCATGCCTGGCACACGATGTATGTGGTAGTATTGTTGGGACTTGATGCAGGAAAGTATCTCTTGGAGCTGCAAAGAAATAACAAGGAAAATTTGTTTGGCGAGTACCAAAATTTAGCAACAATTTATTTATTTATTTATTTATTTTATATTGATTCGTACATGTTTTTGTAAATAGCGTATGATGTGAGGAGACCATATCAGGTTGTCATCCAGTTTGAAGTGGACCTTAATGGTAGTATAGTATAGGTTTGTGAAAGCTGTAAACTATCATTTATATTCTACAACYGCATCACTGCGGAATCATTCAACTCTGCTTATGGAAGCATTCTGCAATCAAGAAATGTYCACGCTCCTCTCTGTCAGCGGGATTGGTTTACTGTTGGGCGCAATTTTCTTGTAAGATTTGCTCATTACAAGCACACACAGACACGCACACACACACACAAGCATACTTGCAGTACACATAATAGTGCATACAGCACCGGATACACAACAACATCCTAATCACAAACCCTCACCGCACACATCAGAGTAAAGCCTGCCAACTTTAAGAGAGACACATGTGTTTTATTGAAGCACCGAGGGAGACTTCTGAAGAGCTCATTTAACATGAAAGTGTCATATCTCAAACTGGCTTCTCTCAAGGGACTCTGCTCTGCACTTAGTGTTTTTCATATGTGCAAACGGRGCAGCAATCCCGTACTGACACATATGCCCTATTATGATGGTTACAAGAGGGTGTCAGTGTGCAAACACATCTCTGTAAGAATGTGATCATTAGGCATGGCAGGCAGCTTAGGAAATGGCTGTTCTGAAATTGAAATAATCCAGTATTACAGCAAAGGGGTGTATTATGCAGCTGCATTCAGAATGGGAATGCAGAGCCTCATTGATCCTTCTGTACAAACAAACGCTCGGYGTGGACAACCTTTGCTAAAAGGCAGGAGTCAAAACATGTCAACAGCGGTCAAAACACGTTTATTTTTTTTTTTCCGTAAACTGTTGTCGACTCAGAAACTCGCACATATTTGTGTTTGGGTGCATGCTGCTTTGATTGATTTTTAAACAGATGTTTCATTATGTCTGCTGTAAACAGATGGAAATATTGATCAAAGGAAAAGAAGTGTGCTTCATAGAGAATGAACCAAGCAAGAAATTTGTTTGTCAGAAACCCATCAAAACACTTTCGTCTAATGGGACTTAGATGCAGAGAAAAAGTAGGATGAATACAGATTAGCTGGTTTAAAAAACTGACTGAAAAGGCTGCTAATTGATGAAGCATGAAAAACCTTGCAGGCTTACACAGATTTCTGTGTATTTCCAGTTAATTCCACTTTAATGTGCTTAGACAACATGTTGTTAGCTCTGCTTTGACTCAAATCAGCTTTCATTTAAACACCTTCCAAAGATACTTGTGTTGTTTCATTGTCATCTGTTCGCCTTCTTATTTTACATTCAGTTTTCTCTCCGTACCCTGGGTTGCAAATGTAGTCACTCCCTCAGTAAGCTTTCTACACTGCTGTCTAAAAACATAAACTAACTGTTTTTTTTTTAATTAGGCACAAAATATGCCCAATCAGTGATGTTAGATTACCTAAAAAATACACACCTGTACCCACCTGTGGGCTCTCTATCTGTTTGATGATCTCAGTATATAAACACTTGCTCTGATCAGGAATCAACACCGGTGAAACAGTGTGACTGCCAAGCAAAGAGCAACATAAATACTAAGAAACATTCTGCACAGATCGAAGACTAATCTGTGTTTAAGTACAGATCAGTGTTGGGTTGTAAAAAATATACCAAACTCAGAGCATCTTACAGAGCACTTATGAATCAATTATTGGAAAATTCAAAGGGTATGCCACCACATACTGTACATGGTCATCTGTTAAAACTCAGATTAGGCAAAGAGAGCAATAATATAAGATTCAACCAAAAGGTCAAATGTACCCCTGACTTTAAAAGGCAGAGTGTGTAGGATTTGTTGTTTTCAGTGACATCTAGTGGTTGAGTGGTTGAATCATYCTCCCTGGTCCTCCCCCCACCCCCACCCCCCGCTTCCAAATGCAAAGGAGTTGCTACGGTGTCTCTCAGGTGTCAAAAACCTTTGATAATTCCAACCGCGATGTCTACCAGCAGCTTCAGGGCTAGTGATGTTTCAAGTGGTAAGATTATGAGCTTTAATAAGTAAAATTATCCCAGCTACAATGACAGAAAACAAATATTACATTTATAGTATTACAACTAAAATCGTTTTTGACGCCGCCACCGCAGTTTGTCCTTCATGGGCCTTTGTAGACAAGATGGCGGTGCAAGATGGCGGCTGCCTGTACTGGCGACCCGCGACGATGAAGATATAAACAGCTTTTTATAAGGTAAAGAAATAAAACAAGGTCTTTGTCTGCAATGATTAGAATTTTTTTTATTATTGTCATTAGTGATTATCTCAATTTTGGCTAAAAGAAAGGACAAAAACCTACACACTGTGCTTTTAAAGAAACAAGGAAGATGCTGCGGACAGATAAGACTGAAACAAACCTTTTTGAGGATCAAGGAGAAAACCATGTCTGATGAAAACTAAAACACCTCAACATGTTAAGAACACAAACCACACAAACCACACAATGATGCACTGTGGTGGCAGCATCATTGTGTGAGAATGTTTTTATTTTTTTATTTATTTTTTTTTTGCAGAGACTGGGAAATAATAAAATTATAAATGTACTTTATTCGCTATCAATGCATGTTCCTATGACGAGATTTGAGCTCTGCATTTGACCCATCACACATATAATAAGAATCACCCAAGTGGAGCAGGGGGCAGCTATTATGGCACCCGGGGAGCAGTTGGGTCTCTTGCTCAAGGACATCATAGCATGTGGGAATGGCGGGAAAGTCAAACCTATGACTTTCTGTTCCCAAGTTGGCTGCCCTACCACTGCACAACAGTCGCCCCCGTTTATCATAGACCAAAATACACTGAAATATTTGCTTTATTTGTATTTTTCAGTAAACTGAGACAGAGGTTCTCCTTCCAGCAGGAAGTGAACCTATACACATTCCTAAAAAAAACATCAGTGGTGTAAAGAAAAACTCTCCATCCAAGGCAAGAATTTGCAACAACTGTGGTTAGATGTATCAAGCTCGTAGAGACACACCAGAAAAGAACTACAGCAAATGGTGGCTCTACAAAATCCAGACTTTAGAGGGTGTAAACAAATGTAAATGGTAAATGGACTTGTGTAGCACCTTTCTACCCAACCAGGATACTCAAAGCTCTTCACACTACAATCTGTGTCCTCATTTACCCATTCACACAGCACTGTACCAGATCTCCTACAAAGCTAACGTGTACAACCACTCTTGTCTTGAAGAATTTGCAACAACTGTGGTTAGATGTACCAAGCTCATAGAGACATACCAGAAAAGAACTGCAGCAAATGATGGCTCTACAAAATCCAGACTTTAGAGGGTGTACACACATGTAAATGGTAAATGGACTTGTGTAGCACCTTTTTACCCAACCAGGATACTCAAAGCTCTTCACACTACAATCCGTGTCCTCATTTACCCATTCACACAGTACTGTACCAGATCTCCCACAAAGCTAACGTGTACAACCTGGAGACTAATCAGTGCCAATCACATTCATACACTGATGGGACACACATCAGAGTCTTTTGGGTTAAGTGTCTTGCCCAAGGACACAACAACTGAGACAGCTGGATGTGGGATCGAACCGGTGACCTTCCGGTTCCAGGACAACTCCCCTAACCACTCTGCCACAGCCTCTCACAGTGTCTCACTTTTCAGTTTTATGTTGTTTAACAACCAACCATTTTCTTCCTCTTGTTTCAAGGTTAAGTCGTGAAAGCTGCAGCTTCAGCAGGGAGGCCCCATACCTCTCTTTCCCCAGCCACCTATTCCAGTTCTTCTGGGAGGACACCAAGGTATTCCCAGTGCAGACGAGAGACAGACTCCCCAGTGTGTCCTGGGTTTTCCCTGGGCTTTCCTCCTAGAAGTACCTCACTTGGGAAGCATCCAGGAAGCACACTTACCAGATGCCCAAACCACCACAACAGGCTCCTCTCTATGTGGAGGAGCAGCGGTTCTACTCCGAGTTACTCCCAGATCTGTATCCACCACCTCATTCTTTCTGTCACTACCCAATTTGAGCACATACTGTAGCTGAGGGTAGGAACATAGACTGACCAGTAAACAGAGAGCTTTGCCTTACAGCCCAGCTCCCTCTTCATCACAACACACCAACAGAGTCTGCAGTACTGCTGAAGCAGCAACAACCTGTCTGTCAAACTTACGCTCCATTCTTCTCTCACTCATGAATAACATCCTAAGATACTTGAASTCCTCAAGTTGAGGCAGAACCTCACCTCCAACCCAGAGAGAGCAACCTCTGTTATTTATAATTATTTAAAAGATGTTTTACCCAATTATCAGCTTAACTGGCCCTGTTGACTTAGATTTGAATTCAGAGTTACACAGGGGACTGTTAAGTCATTAGCTTCTGATCTACTTGATCTTGTCAGTTTTGTGTAAATCTTTTACTTATGTAATAACATTTAATAGGCAATTTTATTCCATGTTGCAAAGCAACAAAATAAAAAAAAATTAGCATAATCTTTGGCATCCAACTCCATGTGCTCGACAGACAACCTCCTCCACAAGTTTTTGTTTCTCAGAATATTTAAACAAGCCCTCGTTCCTCTCGTGTGCACTCTTCTTCACCCCTAACTCCCATCTGACCTTCTATCTGTCTCTGTCGTCTTTTTCTCACCTTGTTGAGTGTGATGACAGCCTCTTCGTTCAAACCCGTGATGTTGAATGTGTCCCCGGACTCTCCTTCTAGAATGGTGTACTCCAGTTTGGCGTTCTCACTGAGGTCAGCGTCATTTGCGGAAATGCGTCCGATCTCAGCACCCGGGATGGCCAGCTCAGAAACGGAGAAAGACCACATACCTGAAAAMACACACAWACACACACACAACAAATCAGCAAAACTGTTGTGTGACTTTATTAAAACAGACACTTCATTTATATGTTGGGCATTTCATTTTGTCTTTTGAACATTTTTTTAATTGCTGTCCCACACCTGCGCTGAGCCAATATTTACAAGGTTTCACTCCGATAAGGCAGTGATTAATTTAAATGAACTGAGAGGATGAAAGGATGCGATAAGGAAGGAGAAAAGCAGAGGATGTGTTTGAGCACTCGCCACTGTGATATTAATAAAAGCCGGATAGAAAGAGGCCGGAAAACTTGCTGTAAAAAAAAAAAAGAAAAATAACTAAATTAAAAGACGCAAAGATTAAAAAACAGGGGGGAGGGAAGAGGGAGATAAAACAGACAAATAGATTGCAGTTGAGCGAAGCTTCACAGACTCACTCACATTTAAACCTGATGAACTGAGCCAACTACTCATTACAATCATCTGCTTTTTAGTGCCCAACTTGTCCATTTCTTCCTCCTGCTAACAAGGATTCATTAAGATAACAGTCCTGTTTGTGCATGCTGCCATCATGTTTAAACATGCTGCTTTCCTTTCCTATTGCTGTGCACATTAAAGCAGGACATTACAAACCCTACTGCTGGCTTTGCACTTACATCGGATGCACTTATGTGACAAAAACAGGGGGTAAGAGACTACTTTATTCCTGCATAAAAAAGTATGTACCAACATGCCTGTGTGAATGTAAATATAATCTTGATGTCTTGTTTTATCTTAGAGCGCACACAGCTGCCACTGGCAAGAATAAGTGCTGCAAAAATTGAACAAATAAGTAAGATAGCAGCATTTGGCTTGCACTCGTGCAGCAGACCAGGTGTTATCTGCTCAGCTAAAGTTAAAGGATCGGAATCGGCCCGCGAACACGAGAGAGAGCGGCGGCGCAGAAAACGCACTGAGGTTGACAGACGAGAAGATAACTAGCACTCCAACAAGACAGTATCAGTGCCAACGAGCAGGCAGGTGAGTACTGCTAATGTGACAACATCACGACAAAACAAAGCCAGGTTGTTTCAGTTTGTGGATTGGGATGAAGGTTCAGACACCAACGTGTTTATTGGCAGCCAGATCCATCTCTCAGAGTGTTTCTTTGTTGTCTTTTCAAACTTGTCAATGTTAAAGCTGTGTAATAAAATGGCTTTTTCTTTTCAATTAAAATAACATGACGGTTTTAGTGAGAACAAACTCGTGCCTCATTTGTGCCTCGTTTTAAAGAGTATTGGCAGAGCAGAACATGGGTGTCACAAATTAGCCTCTCCCCACTCAGACTCCATAAAGATGCAGCAAACTCTTTTAAAATGTACCTCTCTCAATTATCCTGTTTCATTTATTCAGTTACCTGTTCATTCCTATATATTGTTAGAATCATGTTCATTTTGAAATCCTTAATTAAGCGCAGGAAACCAATCCAGTTCTCAGACTTGAATATTTATCCCATCACATCACTGTGGACCATTTCACATCGAGTCACCCTTTGTTCCTGAGTCTCAGTAAATTGCCTTGAGCTTTTTTGTCCTCACAGTGTTCATGTAGAACCTGATCAAACCTTGGTCCCTATACAACAGCACTGAAATCATATTTTCTTTAGGAGTGTGTTAAACTAAAGGACATTGATTTTCCAACTGCTTAAAGTAAATGATTAAAATCGATCACAAAGTATAAAATACAAGTGTGTGTCCAAAATTCAGTTAACAATCACAAAATATCCTTCAGTGCCTTTAAGTTTGATCTACCAGTAGGATATGTAAATCAAATTCCAAGGCTTGTTTCTCTCATTTCTGCTGTTATGAAGTTTATTAAATTTAATAAAATCTGTTTACATTTTTAGTGCAAAGGTGTCGGCATCACTTTATTTTATAAAACACTTGGGGAAAAAGTTAACTCAGTAATAATGAAATTACTTTAGTAGAAGTTGAGATGCTATGACTGATGTATCAGAAGTGATCAGGCATTAGATGATTTAATTAAATTCTATAGTAAGCCAGACTTTTTTTTTCAGCTCCTAATAGTTAAGAACTGCTGGAAAGTCATTGTGTTCTTTTTCCATGATAAAGTAAGAAAATGTTTGGCACATATTAAATTATTACTACAGAGACTACCGTTTAACAGACATACTGATTACTCACATACAACATGTGGAGATGAGTGTTTTAGCTACATGGATGGACTCTTTGGTTGCTGTTGTCAGCTATAGATTTAGTTTGTGCTGTCAGAAGTATGTAAAGATTTTTTAATGCAAATTGAAAGAAAGTTTTTGAGCACAACATCATCATATTGAAGTTTGAAAATGCCAAAGCTCACCACTGACTGTCTTTGATTAATTTCACTTTTTCTCTTGTGGTTACTCTCGCTTAATTAGTTTGTTGTCTTCAGGGGAAAAAAAAACTCTTTCTTCTGCTGATACTGAAAATTGCTTCAAATTAACAGTGACAGATCAAGGAGGTGCTCCTATTGTGTCACCTAACAAGGATCAACTTGCATTTGATTGGCCAATTTATC